TTTTAATAAATAAAAGTTTTCTGTTAACTTTTTAGTACAGTTTAATTACATAAGAGTTAAGAGGACTTTCAGACGAGGATACTGTATGCGAGATGTAGAATTTGCGATGGCTGCTGTATCGTATTCACAGGCATTCTCGTCAGTATGACAACAGTAGCAGTGCAGTGCGGTTATAGTTTTAGATTATGGATATATAAGAGAGTGTTATACTGTGGTACATATTAAAAAAAAAAAAGAAAAAGAAACTGAATAGACGACGTAATTTGTGGTTTCATCCTATTGTAGAATTAAGAGAAACCAAGGGAACATAAAATTTGCTGTATCAAGATTTATTGCAAGATCCATCGAAGTTTTTTAATTATTTTATGTCTGTTTGAATGTCTGTGAAGTTTAAAAAAACACCTTTTTTCTTTCATTTCTCGTTCACAACTATTCGACAATTCGACAGAAAATCGCGCGTCTATGGAATGTAGTGCAAAAGTAGTCGTGTCTGAAAGCGTTCGTTTAACGTAATGTTTCTTCTGTATCTGGCATACGCATTCAGTCGTCGGCGACAGGAAGGTCCAAGATACTGAATTCGGTATCTCGCATACTGTATCCGTCGCGCGTTCCGTGTGAAAAGCTCTATTTGAGTCTATGTATTATCTGCATCTCGGATACAGTATCCTCGTCTGAAAGGCCTCTAATGTTCACAAAAAAGAACAAAACAGTAAATTTTTTCAAATATATTCATAATCATGAGAGAAATAGCTTCATATAGTAAATTTTTCCTTGCTTCGCCCAATAATTTGGCCAGATACTGTATACTTTATTTAAAGTTCACCCTACGCCACAGTAGGTTATCACCTACGGGCTCGTGATCAAAAATCCGTCCTTCTCGTGAGGACGATACATAATTAAATTAAATTAAATTCTTTATTTTCGTTTTGACAAACATAGTTTGTATAGAATTAGTCATAAATATACATTGCTACAAACTAAACACTAAACTAGACTAAACAAGACATGAAATGAATTTAAAAGCTAAACGAAATACAGCTAATATCTAAGATCTAAAAAATTCTTCGATTGTATAAAACACTTTTTCACATAAAAATTGCTTAAGATTCCTCTTAAATACATTTATTGAACTGGTGGACTTTACAACTGTGGGCAAATGATTAAACACGTGTAGCCCGTATACCCTGGGCGATTTAAGTTTAATGTTACCTTTTGAAAATGGTATATAAAGTTTATTACAATATCTAGTATTTAAATTATGCATATCACCACTCGTTTTAAACCGATGTAAGTTATTAAAAATAAAAACACATAATTCAAAAATGTATAGACACGACAATGTTAAAATTTTATATTTTTTAAAATATTCTCTACAACTAGTTAGTCGGGAGACACCAGCGACACAACGCAATATTTTCTTTTGTATGACGAAAATGCCATTTACATAACCAGACATACCCCAAAAACATATCCCGTATCTTAGTCTGGACTCTACGAGTGCATAATAAATCATAATTAGCTGATTTTCCGTCAGAACATATTTTAAATTTCTAATTAGATAGTTAATAGAACTCAACTTCGAAACAACCGCTCCACAATGCAACTTCCAATCCAAACTTTCGTCAATCGTTATTCCCAAAAACTTGCCTGACGACACGGTACCTATTTGCATGTTGTTAAAAGTAAGCTGAAGATTTTCCAAGTATTTTTGTTTATTGTGAAAATGTATAACTTGCGTTTTTTCTGCATTTAGATGCAACGAGTTATCGCAAAACCAAGAATATAAAGATGAAAGAAAATTATTACATTGATGTTGTAGGATTACTATGGATTTGTTAGATAGAATAATTGACGTATCAGCCGCATATATAGTGAAATTTACCGCTCTGTCCACTTGTACGATGTCGTTAATGTAGACTACAAAGAGAATTGGTCCTATTATAGATCCTTGGGGAACACCCATGTTTGTAGTAACAAGACTAGATCTACAACTGGTCACACAATCCTCGATCCTTGTCTGCAGGCTCACATATTGTTGTCTATTGTTTAAAAATGACATAATCCACTTTAAAGAGTTTCCTGTAATACCTATCTGTTTTAGTTTTTTAAATAATATTTCATGGTTCACACAGTCAAATGCCCTACTAAGATCACAAAATATTCCAATAGGACATTCGCCTGCATCAATCAGACTGGTTAAATGAGCATAAAATGCATGGACTGCCGTATTAGTAGATTTATTTTCTTGAAATCCATGTTGATTTATAGTTATGATATTATTGTTTTTTAGATAACCATTTAATCTCTTTAAAATATCCATACTCAAATACCTTTGAAAATATACTGGGAATTGTTATAGGCCTATAATTGCTGACCAGTTTTGGATCTCCTTTTTTAAAAATGGGAACTACTTTGCCTGTCTTTAAGTAATTAGGAAAATCCCCATTGCAAAAAGACAAATTGGTTAGATAAGTTAAAGGATTGATTATAAAAGGTAAAACTTTTTTCACCAAAAATGCAGGTATCTCGTCAAAACCACTAGAGGATTTGTTTTTAAGTTTACTCTGGAGGAGTTCGATCAGTTCCTGCCCAGTAAATGGGTACAATTGAAAGAAATTTTCATGATCTGTAATAATTGACTGACTGTCTTTGTCTACTGTATTACCTGGAATTTTCGACACGATATCAATGGGTGCATTTTTAAAAAATGTGTTAAAAGTGCATGCTACCTCTTGGGGATCTGTTATTATATTATTGTCATCATACATTAAAAAAGTATTAGCATTGTTATTAGCACTTTTTGAGAAATCATTGACAACTTTCCACGTGATTTTATTGGGATTATCAGACGAAGTAATGATTTTCTGGTAATAATCTTTTCTTGTTTTGGTCAAAAGTTTTCTATGTATTTTCCTTTGTTGTTGATAACAATCTCTAAGAATTGGTACTGCCCTTGATAAAGCGTGTAAATTTCTTAATTCAAAACTAGACTTTCGCACTTCACTATTAATCCAGTTATTTTTAGTTGTTTTGATTTTTTTCCTTGTTAATGGAAAGCTATTATTAAAATGATACAAAAAGATATTTATAAAAGCTTGAAATGCTAGATTAGTGTCTAAGATTCCATAAATATTATTCCAGTTTTCGTTAATGAGGTTAACGATAAAGTGATTTATCGATTCCTCGCCAAATTGTCTTTTTTGTATAAAGTATGATAATTCCGCTTCAAAGTCAAGTTCCACTAAAACCGTTCTGTGATCTGATACAGTGTTGTCAAGTACACATGACAAACCGGAGTTCGAGAAATTTACAAATACATTATCTAACGTTGTTACGCTGGTATCCGTGACCCTAGTTGGCCAATTGACAAGATTAAAATTAATATTAAAATTCAGTAAAACATTTAGTAGATTAACATGGTCGTTAGTCATATGTCTGGTATCTACATTAAAATCACCACATATTACAAAACGTATATTTGGTTTATATAAACAATTTAAAATACCTTCGAGGTTATTCAAAAAAATACTTAAATCACCAGATGGTGATCTGTAACAATTTAATATAACATATGAATTATTTTTCTTGTCTTTGAAAGAAGTAATACAATATTCAGAATGTTTATCAACACAATATTGCTTTATCCTAGAGTTGAGTTTGTTATTAAAATTAAGACCTTTTCGAACCCAAATTCCTACGCCTCCTCCTCTTATTGAGTTATCTCGCAAATAACAACTTGCTAGGATAAAACCTTCAATGTTGACGTTCCCAATAGAATTATTTGATTCCCATAATTCCGTTAAACAGATAATATTTATGCTCTTATGAGAAGTAAGTTCTAAAATAACATCACAAATTTTATCACTATTTATGCTTTGAATATTTAACAGCATTAAATTTGGATTAAAACTTACCCCTGATTTTGAGGTTGCCCCCGCAGGTATAAAAAACTATTTACACAAGCGTTCTTAGGCCATACTGCAGGATCCATTGCTTTCTTGAAGTGTTCTTGGTGTATCCGTACTTTGAAGGATGCATATAATTCAGGATGACGGGAATTCATCCCCTCACAAATGACCTCTGGAAAATGAGGCTTTAGATGCTGTATAATAGAAGCCGCTGTTGCAGTTGGTTCTATTCTGTATACGTGGAGATCCACAAATTTTTGAGTACCTTTTATCGTGGTATTTGTACTTGTACCTACAATAGCTTGTCTCTGTCTTCTGCTTCTATGACGAACTTCTTCCCATCTGCCGTTGTCTGAAGAGCTGCCTTCTCCTAGGGAAACTATTAACGTCATAATTTTTTCTTGTTTCGTGATAAGATCATTTTTCTTATTGGATGGTTGAGGCATTGATGTAGAGACGGTAGTTGACTTACATTTAGCTTCTTTTTTTTTTCTGTAACGTTTCATGATTGTTTTCAATTTCACGATTGTCTTCTTTCTCCTTAGATTTGCAGACGTTAGTATTATGAGATTTAACTGTTTTGTCTAAAGATTTGGCAACGTTCGAACTAGAAGGTGCATTTGAAGGAATATTTTTCGATTTTAACAAATATATTATTTCATCCTGACGTTGGTTACCTTTAGTAAGTTCACTGTTTAAAGCTTTCAAGTATTGACTTTCCACTCGAGATTATCACTGTTGATCACACCATTTTCAGCGGACTTATCAGTCTCCCTGTATTCCACCAGTTGTTTAATACTTTCACTCACTTTTAACGAGTCTGGTACCTTTTTAGATATTAAAATTTCTATTAAATCGGACTTTTTTAGACGATCTAGTTCCTTATAAACACTCTCGTCAAACGCCATGTTGCCAATTTGAATATTAGAATTAATTAGAATTAGGAGATTCTCAATTAGGAGAATTAGGAGACAATTAGAATAACTGAAAATCCTAAATCTCACCACAGAAGCATCCTATTTCATTTTTGTTAAGAGTTTAAATAAAATTTCAAGTACTAATACCAAGTAATACAAAAAATATAATTTATACCTAACGGCGTCCAATCAGCTAACATAAAATATCCACCTTCTGGAATAACAGGTTTCATTCCTGCATCACACAAGAATTTTGCCATATAGTCTCTCTTAGTTTCAATTTCTTTGGGTAGCTGCATGAAGAAACATTCGTCAGTTCCGAAACGTTCCATTTCTTTTTCAAATCCTATGGCGCAAGCTTCCTGTAATGTAATAAAAATATTAATATAAAACCAAATATGATTTTGTTTGTTTCAGTATGTTTGAATGTTAAAACGTTAATTAAGCATAGGATAGACATAATGGGGAAATGAATAGAATATTTATCTTCTTCTTCTTACGGTGCCTTATCCTTAAGGACGTTGGCCATTACATTTGCCCATTTAATCTTATTTGTAGCAGCCCTGAATAGTTGTATTAAGGTCATGTTAGTCCATTGCCGTAGGTTTTTAAACCAAGAGTTGCGTCTTCTTCCTGGTCCTTTTTTGCTATTGACTTTGCCTTCGATTATAAGTTGGAGCAATTCATACTTTTGATTTCTTATGATGTGACCAAAATATTGTGTTTTCCGTTCTTTTATTATAAGCATAAGCTCTCTTTCCTTATTCATCCTCCGCAAGACTTCCGCATTTGTCGTATGGCTCATGTAGGATATTCTGAGCATTTTACGGTAACACCAGAGTTCGAATGCTTGGATTCTATTTTGTATTGCTTCTGTCATTGTCCAGGCTTCAACACCATAGAGCAAGGCGGAGAAAACATAGCATAAGTATTCTAGTTCTCAATGAGATGCCCAGCTGGCGGTTGCATACAACTTTTTGCATTTTGTAAAACATTGTACGTGCCTTTTCCAGACGTATTCTTATCTCTAGTGAGTGGTCCCAAGTTTCATCAAGATTACTTCCAAGGTACGTTGTTCTTGTTACTCTTTCCAGATCTGTTCCGTCGACATTGACCTTCACCCTTCTGTTTTGGTGCTTGCTGATGACCATCGTTTTTGTCTTCTTTGTATTCAATTTCATTCCAAATTCTCTACAGGCTGTCGTTACTCGGTCCATTAAGCGTTGCAGGGCTTCAGCATTATCTGCCAGTATGACAGTGTCATCAGCATATCGCAGGTTATTTATACATTGCCCGTTTATAATTATACCATCCGAGGTGCCTTCCAAAGCTTTCTGAAATATCTTCTCAGAGTAAACATTGAACAGCAAAGGTGATAGGACACATCCCTGTCTTACTCCCTTCTCGATATTGATTTTTCCAGATGTTTCGCTTTTTATTCTGATTTTAGCCTTTTGTTCTTGGTAGAGGTTTGAAATGATCCTTAAGTCTTTATCGTCGATATTACATGACCTTAAAATATCTATTAGTTTATCATGTTTCACCAGGTCAAACGCCTTCTGAAAGTCTATGTCTATAGAAATACAGATAATGAGGATAAGCGAAATGAAATATAGACCTATTCTGGGCAAAGTGAAATTAGTAATCTCCACATATTCATTATTCAGATAACCCCAGAAGAAGGTACAAAAACGAAGTAGATAGATGAAATTGCCACATGTGTTCAAAATTTTGTACCAATATCGAAAATTAATTTTCAACTTAATACTTTACAACTAACATTATCTCAAGGTTTATGCCCCTATAGCTTACACACCAGCTCAGATAGCTTATTATTATTAATATACAGCCTGGGTAATAATCTATCGTCATTATGGACCTTGCGTGAGATGGAGTGAGAAACACCTGTTTAAAAAGAGAAAGCTATATTAGGTCCGCCCTTTATATCGTCGAAAATGCATTAGTGGAAATAATTAAATTCAACAGAACAGGGGAAGTTCAACGTTGCCAAACTTATTGGTTTTATTTGACCTATTGTCTTTTTAGCATTTGAACAATGTTCTAAGATAATCAAATTTGGGCGAACTGATTTAAATGGCATGTGGTGTTATTCCTTAAATATTAGAATTCACATATATAAAATATTATAATTTATACCCGTGTAACATTTAACATTTTGTTTATATAAATATATTTAGTAATTTGAATCGAGGACATTCATAAATAACATACTCTAATTAGAACTGGTAGTCAGCACTATTGCCGATCACCACATGCTTGGCGTAGGTCATGAACAAACTTGACATACTAATAAGTAAACATTTGCTGATATAGCAAGGACTACTATAAAAGCCCCAACAATCATTCTCTCAGGGATCTTAATTAATATACCGACACTATGGCCAGTAAGGCATCCTCTATCGTCATCGTCAATTAAGTACTGACATATTTAAGATTAATTAATAGTTAAAGATTGTACAAGCAGTGATTAATAAATGGGCAACTAAGTTACAACATATTATTTACTACCCCACAACATTATTTATTACAGGCAGCTTACTGTTTTTTATGCTGAATATGCCACAATTTTACTTTACTTTACATTACAGTTTAATTTAACATTTTGATTTCCACTTCGGAAATCGTTTTAAATAAATAAAATTTATTAATGTTTAATATTTTAAGTACGACTTCCGAATTGGAAATCTAAACATCAAAATAAGCTTATTTTAAAGTCACATTGTGCCTTATTTCCAATAAAAATTATAAACTGCATTATAACACCACAATAAAAAAGCTTGATACAAATTTATTTAGCAACATCGCGTCATCAAAGTAACGACACTTGGATTTTAATACTGTTGTAACGAGCAGAACAGAACTAGTTTGGTATGGCATGCATATTGCACGGGTTCGTGGGTTGGTGTTTCATAAAGCATAATAAATAAAGAACTATGGTCTGTTTTTTAACCAGGAGGAGTAATTCAAATTTTCCACGCCGTACTGTTTGTTTGCAATTGGTCCAACCGCTGGCAAGTTTACTCCACTAAATTATGACATATTGACACTAATGACATTTGTGAAATTTATTTATTATTATTATTTTCCTCTAATATATAAATCGATTTCTGACTGTTTAAGTTAAGCATTGGCCAATCAGGAATATGGCATTAAAATTAACAGCAAAGAATACATTTTGATAATAAAATGATCCTCGGTAAAAAATCTATAGTTTAAGTGATCGTGGTATAATTAACATACCTGTATTGGAGTTACACCAGTATATACACTGTTTTGATGAATAATTTGTAGATTTTTCATTAAATTTGCAGGGCAATAAGCCCAACCCAACTTCCATCCAGTTACGCTAAAGCTCTTGCCGGCAGATCCAATAGTTATTGTCCTCTCCCACATTCCAGGCAAACTTGCTAAATAAAAAATTTATGTGATTAAAAGAATGATGTAAAAAAGTATATATACATAGATACATAAAGATGTTTGTATAGATATTGGCCCAAAGAATGACATCAAAATTATTTATAGTGATCTAAACGCAAAAATAAGAAAAGTGCAACAATACCTACCAGCTATAGGTAAGTACAACCTGCGTAGGGAATCCAATGACAATGAAATCAGACTAATAAATGTAACTTCTCTTAACATGGTTATTGCCAGTACATGCTTCCAGCGAAAAAATATTCACAAGGGAACGTGGAGATCTCCAGATCGGATAACAGTAAACATGATCGATCATGTTATTATTGACTCTAGACATCACTCAGACGTAATAAACGTATGCAGCAGACGTGGAAAGTAGAATAAGAGCCAGAATCTCAAACATTAAAAAAGAAACGGGATGCAAAATTGAAAAATATGAAATAAAAAACTTAGCAAACAACAGCAAAAAGGCAAAATACAAAGAACATATAAAAGGAAGGTAGAAACAGACAAAAGCACGATGATATAAATAGAGAATGGGAAACGTGTAAAAACATCACATAAGACGCGGCCAAAGAGACCCTGGGTCTACAAAAAGAGCTCAAATCAGCTGAAGGACAGTGGTTCGATGAAGAGTGTCATAACATAACAGAGAGGAAAAATAATGTATATCAACGACTACAACAACAACATAGAACACGAAAGGCAGAGGTGGAATATAGAATGCTAAGGAGGGAAGAGAAGAAAATAAATCGCAGAAAGAAAAGAGAACGCATAGAAAAAAAACTTCAAGAAACGAAAGAATAAACCATCAGAAATTAGAAAATTCTACCAAAAACTTAACAAAAGTAGAAAAGAATTTAAACCAAGAACAATGATCTCAAGGACAAAGAAGGAGATATAGTAACTCATCAGAGTGAAACACTACAAAGATGGACAGAATTCTTCAAAGAAAAGTTTGAAAAAAACGAATCCACTATATGATGGAATTATACTGGGTCAAACGGATACCAGAGAAACAACTCGCACTTCATCAGTAGCTGAAATGCAAGAGACAGTTCTTCTTCAGCCTGTGTTCGTCCACTGCTGGACATAGGCATCTTCCATTTGCTTCCATCGATTTCTACTTTTGGCAATTCTCATCCACTGCTTGCCCGCGACTTGTTTGATATCGTCTGTCCACCTCTTCTGCGGTCTGCCTACTCCTCGCCTGTTCTCTCTTGGTCTCCAGTTTGTTAATCTTTGTGTCCATTTTTCGGGATTATCTCGGGCAACGTGTCCGACCCATTGCCACTTGAGCCTTGCAATACGTTCTGAGACATCAGTAATTTTTGTTCTTTCACGAATGACGTTATTTCGAATCCTGTCTCTCAAACTAATCCCTAGCATGGCCCTCTCCATTGCTCTTTGAGTTGTACTGAGCTGCTCTAAGGTTTTCTTTGTGAAGGCCATGGTCTCCAGTCCATATGTAGTTACAGGCAAGATACATTTGTCATAAACTCTACGTTTTAGACACATTGGTATATCTTTATTCTTCAAAATAAAGCTTAATTTGCCGAAAGCTCCCCAAGACAGTTGTATGCGTCTTTTTATTTCGGCTATTTGATTTTCTTTGCCGATTTTAATGGTATGTCCAAGATATATATAGTGGTCTACATTTTCAAGACTGACGTTGTCAATAACAAGATTAGTTTGTAAATTACTCATTATTTTTGTTTTCTGAAGGTTCATTTTGAGACCTATTTTATTTGACTGCTGGTTTAATTCCTTCAACATTTGCTCCAGTTCCTTTATATCTGTACTAAATAATACTATGTCATCCGCAAACCTCAAATGACTCAAACGTACACCATCAATGTTTAGACCTTTTTCCTCCCAGTCAAGCTGTTTGAATACATTTTCCAATGCTAAGGTAAAAAGCTTTGGTGAAATAGTATCACCTTGTCTAATACCTTTATCAAGGCGCATTTTTTCAGTTTTTTTGTCTTCATTGATTTTGATGTGGAATGTGGCCTGTTCATAAATGTTTTTAATGAGTGTAGTGTACCGTGAGTCTATTCGAGCATCCTTCAGGGCTGACAAAAAGGACCAAGTCTCAATACTATCGAAAGCCTTGTGAAAGTCGATAAATGCCATATGTAAAGGTACATTATATTCTGTGGTTTTTTCTACTAGTGTTCTGATGGTTTGTAAGTGATCATTAGCGCCAAACCCTTTTCTAAATCCCGCCTGTTCAACCGGTTGATATAAATCAAGTTTTTGTGTTATGCGGTTGGTTATTATTCTTGTTAACAATTTGTATAAGTGTGACAACAAACTTATAGGTCTGTAGTTTTCAATATTAGTAGTGTCTCCTTTCTTGTGTAAAAGTATTATTTCGGCGTTTTCCCATAGGCTGGGTATTTTTTTTTCTGTTAGACACTTATTCAGTAAGACTTCCACAACTTCTACAACGATGTTGCCGCCCATTTTTAACATTTCAGACGTTATACGATCCTCGCCGGGAGCTTTTTCGTTTTTCATTTGCTGTAAGGCATGTCTAATTTCCGAAGAGGTTATTTTAGGGAGGGTTTCCGAGCCGACGTTTAGAATTGTTCTGTGGTCTGTTTCGGGGTTCTGTATAGTAGATGTATAAAGATTCTTATAGAACGTTTGTATTTCCTTGACTATTTGAGTTTTTTCGGTCACCGTATTCCCCTGTTGATTTTTGATTTTAGTTATATTTGATTTTCCTTTAGTTAAATTTGATTTCAATACTCTCATGTTTCTATTGTTTTCGATGGTTTGCAATATTTGTTTTGTTTTATAAGCCCGCAAGTCTGACCTTATGCTCTTTTTAACTTTATTGTTGATAGCTTTATACTCTGGTAATTCTTTCGATGTTCTTCTTCTTTCTTCCATTAAATTAAGTGTTGTTTGTTTCAGTTTCGTTTTTCTGGGATTTTTATTTTTATCACAGATCTTTTTTGCAGTTGATGTTATGTCGTTCGTTAATTTTTGTGTTATTTCATTTATATCTTTCGTGTTGAATACTGGTAGAGGTCCTAGTTTCTTTTTTAGTTCACTTTGATATTCCTCTTGATTCATTTCGAGTGCTTCTATGTTTGGCAATTTATCCTGTGTTAATAATTTTCTTCTATCTAATTTCGTATTTATTTCTATTCGCGTCCTAACTAATCGATGATCACTACCAGTGTTGAAAGAATTTAGTACAGTAAGATCTTTAGCAATGTTTTTGAAGTTAGAGAGTATAAAGTCAATTTCATTTTTTACTTTGCCATCTGGGCTTAACCACGTCCATTTTCTCTGCATCTTTTTCTTGTAGAAGGTATTTAAGCAGAATAGTTTTTCTTTGCTGAGGAAATTTACGAGCATATCTCCCCTGTTATTTCTACTTCCCAGTCCAAAATTTCCAATATATTTGTTGTCGTTGTTATTTTCGTTCTTTCCTATTTTAGCGTTGAAATCTCCCGTAATTATTACGTAATATGTTTTCTCTAGGTTTCTGGCTCTTGTAATGTCATCATAAAGTTGTTCTACCTCTTCATCATCTGCAGAAGAAGTTGGTGCATAACAGTGGATTATTTGAATGCTGTATCTACGATTTAGTTTTATTACCATATAGATAACTCTATTAGAAATTGCTTGGAATTTGGTTACCATGTTTTCAATTCTCTTATGTACTAAAAAGCCTACGCCTCCTATACCTTGGTTATTTCCTGAATTGTATTGGTACAAAGTGTGCCCTGATTTTAGTAGAGTCGATTCTTCGCCTTTAAGCCTTGTTTCGCATAGTACTATGTCCCATTTGATGGTCTTAAGTTCTTCTTGCAACTCTTCTAGGTTATCTTCTGTCCTCATCGTTCTGATATTATATGTTCCGATGTGCATTCTGTGTGTACTAAGCGAATTCTTGCCTCCCCCATATTCCACGAGGCAGACCCTTTTCTGGGTGTGGGATTTGGCATAACATACTCCACCCACCTGGGGACCATTCCGTTTCGTTTTAGTATTCGCCATTTCTGTATTTGGAAGGATGAGTAGCCTTGAAACACCACGCTGGCTAGACGGGTTGGTGAGTTTTATATCAGCCGCCCATTCTGGGTCAGACGCTGTTCGCAGCCGTCCATTCTGGATCAGACGCTACTGTTTTGATTCTATATCAACCCTAAAATCGAGGGTTGCCATTTCCGCCATCCACACCGTACCGAAGCTCCGCTTCTCCGCCGTGTCTGCCGTTGTGGACTTCATCCGTAACCCTGGACAAGGGACCCTAACCAGGTACTGGTTTCCCGGGTCAGGAAACCCCCGGAATCTGCGGAGGGCAGGGATTGATTCATTTTCCCTGATAGGACTATCTTTAAGAATTTAAAGAGTTCCTACCCGCTACCCGAGACAGTTACCAGACTGAAAAACAACAAGTACTTGGATTAGATAGCATTAGCACAGAATTAATAAAGGAAGGCTAAGACTCCCTATTGAATAAACAACTGCCACAAGACTGTAATACCGGAGTAATTATCCCACTACATAAAAAGGGAGCCCAGCTTCAATGTAAAAACTACCGGGCAATAACGCTACTAATTGTGGCATATAAAATACTGTCAAAAATTGTGTATCACCGATTGAAACCATAAGTGGAACAAATAGTTGGGGGGTATCAATGTGGTTTCTGCAGGCAGAAGTCCACAATAGATCAGATCTTCGTCTTGAGGCAAATCTTGAAAAAGACTAGTGAAATTAATATAGACAAACATCAATTTTTCATTGATTTTAAGAGTGCCTATGATGGCATCCATCGAGAATTTCTGATCCATGCACTGAAAGAGTTTAACATTCCACCAACTCAACTCATTGATATAGTAAAAGAAACACTTAAAGTACAAAGCAAAATTCGAATTCAAACGCACTAACAGATACAATCCATGTGAAAACGGGCTTACGACAGGGAGATGCCCTATCCTGTATTCTATTCAACATCACATTAGAGAAAATAATTAGAGAGTTAAAAGCCATTACCAGAGGAACAATAATAACAAAAAATGTACAAATATTGACATTTGCAGATGATGTTGATATCATAGCTAGAAGCGAAAGAAAGATGATAGAAGCATTTAATGCGATAGAAAGAGTGGCCTAAACATTAATGAAATAAAAACCAAATACATGAAGGCCAGCAAATCGACAGGCCAAAGAAACCTAAAGAATCTGACAATAGGAGACTATAACATCGAAAGCGTGAAAAATTTTACATATCTATGTTCACTACTTACCGCAGATAACAACGTCAGTGAAGAAGTTAAGAGAAGAAAACATATAATGTACTAATTAAACATCTAAGATCTAACAACATCATAAGACAAACCAAATGCAAAATATATAAAACCCTGATAAAACCAGTCCTTGTATATGGATCAGAGACATGGACACTGTCGAAAAGCGATGAGAACCTATTAGATACGTTTGAACGAAAAATCCTTAGACACATATAAGGGGGTGAAAGAAAATGACATATGGCGCAGAAGATATAATTTTGAACTATACACAGCATACAATGAACCCGAGGTCATAACATCCATAAAGATCGGACTGTTGGAGACTGAAACACCAAAACATATAATGAGGCAAACACCAGTAGGGAGAAGATCAAAGGGAAGACCCAAACTTAGATACATGGCATGAGTGGAACAAAATCTGAGAATACTTAAGATTACCAACTGGAAGAACAAAGCAAGGAACAGAACAGAATGGCGGAAAATCCTAGAACAAGCCAGGACCCAGAAAGGTTTGTTGAGCTACTGATGATGATGATGATAGATATTTGATTGTAAAGCAATTATACATAACAATAAACAAAACTAAAAGTAAGGTACATAATTTTAAAAAATTTTGACGTTTACAATATAAATTAATGTATATAATGTTAAATATTTTTTATATTAATTATATCTGACAGATTTATGAATTGAAGTAAGGTTAGACATTTATTTGATGTACAATTTTGTTTTATATAAATAGTTAGTAAAATTTTTTTGGTCACTATCATATTAAGTTATACAGTTTAAGTAAGTAGTTTAACAGCAATCAACATTATTAATAATTTAAGCGATAGATCTTATACTCGGTTCACAATTTGTTGATAGCTCACTACAAGTTTAATCCTAATTAGAGAACTGAAATACAGAGAGGATAGGTAATACGATATAATAGTAAAAACCAACCTGAAACTGACGATTTAAGATGTTTTCGACTAACCCACCTTGTATCTGTCGGAATACAATACAGCGGCCAAGCTTATAATCCGATTAGGAACGTATTTTGGCCGATCAGTGTCGTAGAGTATATGATTGAAACATTTATTTGAACTAAATAAATATATTTTTTAAATTGTATTTTTGTTTTAATAAAACTTATAATAAAATAAAATATTTTATTCAAAAATAAAGTTTTTTGCCATTTGTAAAAGATACATTTATTTAATTAAGGGGAAAGGCACCAAATGTGTTTTAAATGTATCCATTATTTTCGAATTCGGAGAAAACTAATAAATATTTTAGAAAAATTTAAAAGCAGAATGAAAGATTACATTATTACTGAGGGTATTATATATGTGTATACTGATGTATATTACAGAAAGTCCCTGAAAACTTCTACAATGTTTATTTTATTATGTTATGCAACAGGGGTGAAAATAAAAGAGAGAATATAGTATAATTTTTAATTGAAAATATTGCATGCAAAAGAAACTTTTTATTTATTCTAATAAATATTTTATTCTGCCTTTAAATTTTTCCAAAAAGGCTTTTTAGTTTTCTCAGGATTTGAAACAAAATCGATACATTTAAAACACATTGAACATTTTGACCTTACGATTGTAATACCTTACGATTACAACTACTATCACTTACCTTATATAATTACGATTAGAAAACTATTCAAATTCAAAATAAATAGGATCAACTTCGGAATCAGTCGTCTTGAGGGTTAATAATTAGCGGTTGTGTCTTTACGGTCGCATCAATTATGTTATCAAAATCCCACATTTTTTGTTCTTCTTCTATTACATGTCTTACTGCATTTTTCCAGTTTTGTTCTGTAATGTGTTGTAAAGACTCGTATAACAATTCACGTACAGCTTGTATTTTATATGACGTATTTTTTCTAGCCACATAACTTTTTATTTGTGCCCAAATGAGTTCAATTGGATTTATTTCGCAGTGGTAAGGTGGAAATCTAAGGACTGTGATGTTTCTCCTTTCCGCCATTTTGTCAACTACGTATTTCTTGAACTTAGATTTGTGTTGCCGGGCAATTTTTAAAAGTTCTGCTTTTACCATTCCATCTTCGTAAGGCAGGTATTTATTCCGCAGCCAGTCAAGAATATCCTGTTTTTTCCACGCAGTCGTTGGAAGTCTTTCTACTAGTCGTGAACGATAAGGTGCATTATCTAATACTATAATTGAATTTGGTGGTATGTGTTCAATCATCTGCACAAAATACTCTTCGAAAACATCAGCTGTCATCTCCTCGTGATAGTCTTTTGTGCTTTTGGACTGAAATTCCAACAAACCATGCTTAACAAATCCTTTTTCACTGCCAATGTGAGAAATTATTAATCTACTGCCTTTACCAGAAGGTGGGGAGATACCAGTAGACCAACCTTCCATAAAGGCTTGCCTGGAGCTTAATATATTTTTATGTGACCAAACTTTTTTTAGAGTATGACCTGAGTTTACCCACGATTCATCCTGGTAGAAGATTGGCCTTCCTTCAGCCCCGAATTTTCGTATGGATCTTAGATAATTTCTTCTCCAACATATTATCTCCTCCCGGTCAATCAAAAGTGATTTTCGGTCTGATTTCTCCCATCGGAAATTTAATTCTTTTAAAACTTGCCACAATTTAGTTCGTCCGATATGAGGCAAATCCGGATCATCTCTAACTTCTTGTAAAATTTTATTTAGGTTTGGTATTTCTTTTTTGAAAAAAAAATCCATGAATTTTCCTTCGAATATCATTTTTGGCAAATTCATCAAGTTCAATAAGCTTTTTCCCTCTCTTTAAGTGTTCGTTTGTGTTTGGGTTAGCTATACCGTGTTTTTTTCTTTCTGATAGGAAGCTATATATAGTTGACTCCCCTACGCCAGTCATGTTGGCACAACTTTCGACTATGTTGTGAACAGTGTTTGTGGGATTCTGAGAAACCAGAGCATCGTGAACATTCAGGACAATAGTCATCTCTCTTGGTGAATAGACAGACTTAGTGACTGTACGCAACAGTACCGGTGTAAAACTTGATGATGTTGATGATGAAGCCATCACAAACAATCCAACAAAACGAGCACGAGCGAAAGGTACGTATATGTTCGTAGGTATATGGAATAAAAAATCACTCACGCACTGCATATAATTCGCAAAAGAAATATTCGAGACACTAATTACTGCCGTAGAAGCGGAAACACCGACGAGCCGTAAATTACATACGATCAAAGACGTAATAAACAAACAAATTGTTTTCGTTCGTCATAACTTCACCCTTTTTAAGTTAAGTTTCGAATATAAACTAAACAGACGAGGTACGTGGCCAAATCCGGCATCTATACCCATTATATTATTAAAAATCTGGGGAATTCCATCCTAATTATCTTGCAACCGATAGTACCTTCGGATATAAATACCAGGTTTTCTAGTAAAGTGATTAAACGCGAAGATTAGTATTGAAATATCCAAAGAGATAAGGTATTCTTATTTACAAAATTGTTAATGGTTAAATTATTATTTTTATTAATATAATATAATAACCAACATTAGCCGTGAAAGTTTTAATTGTTTTTTACTAAATATATCAGTATTAAAACATTATTAATATTAATATTAATTTTAATGAATAAACACCTCAGGAACGCCTATGATGATACAAATTTTACGACCGTTTGATGATTTTGAGGCATATTTCGTGCTATCAACAATTTGTGAACAGAGAATAGGTAAATCTGTTACCTTTGGTTCTTCTATTCTTGATGACATGATTCTAAATGACAAAGAAAATTGGTCAGAATAAGCGACATATTTTTGTTAAAACACATATTTATGTAAAAAAAACCCCTTACCTATTCTCACATGCTTATTCGGTTTGTACACTATCCACTCATATACTTCGTCAGAGATACACAATACATTCCATTTTTTACACAGATCGGCTATATGAGTCAACTCTTCTTCAGTGAAGACTTTGCCTAGGGGATTGTTCGGTGTGTTGATTATAATAATTTTGGTTTTTTCATTAAATAAGCCCTCCAATTCCTTTTTATCTAGGGTAAAATCCGCTGAAGTAGGTAATCTGCCATCAGCGGGTTGTTTCTAAAAAAAAACTGCAATATAAGCATTGGTATTTTAAGTTTTTAGAGGGGACAAAAAATAAATAATATAATAATTTTACAATATTTTATATAGATAAAGTCCTTACCAATCTTAACGGAATATATCTAACGATCCCACCAGCATACTTAACCATAGGTTCATAACAATCATAAAAAGGTTCTATGATAATTACTTCGTCACCAACATCAGTATGACCCATAATGGCAGCATGTAGTGCTTCATATGCTCCTATTGTGGTAATAACTTCATTTTTTTCATCAATGTCTCTACATATTAATTTAGAATAGAACTTTGCTAGAGCCTTCACTAATCGAGGGTGACCCTAAAAATTGAAAATTTTGTGATTTATTTGTATACTGCTATATTGGCAATAAGTTGTACTGTTAAACATTACTTACGAATCCTCTGGTGTATTGGTGCAACATATAATCTGATTTATTTGAAACTTGTGCTAAAGCATCCATTATGTACTGTGGGGCAGGAAAATCTGGAAACCCTTGTCCCAGGTTGAGAGGTTTAAGATCAATTGCCATTTGTATATATTCAGTCCTGAAAGAAAAAAAAACAATAGGAATTCAAATCATGACTTGAAAAAAAGTGGTATAGTTTCTCTACTTTTTAAAATATCAAATAATGTTTTTAAAATTAAACAAAGCAATTGTATTATTTTAGAGTCAGAAGAGGAGATAGCAATGGCGTGGAAAGAATACGCAGAAAGACTTTTTAATGACGAAAGACCAACACAACCAACGCGCAAACTTCCTTCCGAAAACTTATCAGGGCCATCAATAATGCGAAGTGAAATAGAATATGCAGTTAGAACCACAAAGATGCATAAAGCAACAGGTCCAGATGAAATTAATATACAAGCAATAAAACTACTAGACGAGGAGAATATCGAGATCTTGGTAAGGCTGTTCAATAGAATTTATGATACTGGTTACATTCCGTGAGAATGGCTGCAGTCATCCTTTGTGATGATCCCAAAAACAGCTAATGCCACAAAATGCAGTGAACACCGCTTAATCCGTATAATGAGTCACTTGCTGAAAATCTTTCTTAGGATATTACACTCAAGAATGTACAAGATACTAGAAGAACTTAGCGGGTCAACACAATTCGGTTTTAAGGGAGGACTAGGAACAAGAGAGGTAATTTTATGTTTGAACACCTTAATACAAAACTGCTTAGATCAACGAAAAGATGTCTACCTCACTTTCATCGACTACGAGAAGGCATTTGACAATGTTAAACATATCATGATGGAACTACTACATAGGGCCAACATTGACCAGAAGGAGATCAGAATTATTCAGAATCTATACTGGAACAAAATGGCAAAGATGAGGATTGATCAACACCAATATACGGATGAATTTGAAATCCGGAAAGCTGTCCGCCAAGGCTGCACACTCTCTCCCATGCTTTTTAATTTATATGTTGAAAATATATTTGCGGAAGCATTAGAAGACGCGGAATTAGGCATTAAGGTGAACGGCATACCAATTAGCAACCTACGCTATGCGGCGACACAGTAATTATAACTGATAATTTGGAAGATCAGCAGTTATTACTTTATAGAGTGAATAGCATAGGTAAAAAATATGGCCTCAAAATCAACATTTTGAAAACGAAATATATGGTCATTAGCAGAAACCCTCCAGAAAACCCGATAATATGCATAGGTCACGATCGTATAAAACGCGTGAAAACTTTTAAATACCTTGGCACCACCAATCGGATCCACAACACGAGATAAAAACCCGAATACAAATGGCAAGACAAGCTTTTGTGAAATTCAGACCGCTCCTATGTAATCAAAACCTAAATTTCGAAATACGCTACAGAATGGTCAAGTGCTACATATGGTCCATCTTGCTTTATGGCATGGAAACGTGGACTTTGAAAAAAACATCTATCAACAAAGCATTTGAAATATGGTCATTAAGAAGAATGATGCGCATACCTTGGGTGGATAGAGTTCGAAACGATGACGTCCTTAAGAGAGCCGGCGTGGAAAGAGAACTCTTTGAATTAATTAAAAAACGCAAAATTGGTTACCTTGGGCACATATTGAGAGGAGCAAAATATGAAATACCACAGTTAATCCTACAAGGGAAGATCGAAGGTAGGAGAGGAGCCGGCCGCAAACAATTATCCTGGTTAAAGAATATTAAAGAATGGACAGGAATGCACAATACAGGCGAGCTGTGTCACGCCACCAAGAACAGAATTCTAGTAATGAGATAGTCGCCTACGCGCTTTGGTGTATGGCATGTTAAGAAGAAGGTGGATCTATACATGGATCAAATAAACAAAAAATAATATTTATTTATAAAAACTAAATTTAACACCACTATTTGTAATCCTTTTTAATGATTTTAATAATTTTAATTTTGCTGTATTAGTCCTAGTACAAATCTCACCATATAGTAATCTAGTTGTGCAGCTATACAGTATAGGTAAAAGTTTATGGTCGGTATGGTAAAATTTAACAGGATATCTAACACAGATATAAAATCATATTTTCAACGAAAAGACAAAGATAACAAGCATATTTCCCCTTGGTCTCCCCTCCACATTTCTCATTGACGTCCATTGCGCATTAGTAAGACGATTAGTTCCGATCAGAGATATTTTACATATCTCTGGTTCCGATCCTAATATACCTAAAAAACTAGAGGTGGGTCGTTGACATTTTTATCGGAACCGTTTTTCGTAAACTGTAACTAGTTGATTGTTTACCAGTAGTTTCAAATAAGCGAGTACACAAACAAACATATTGGCTATTATCGTTTATGTGTATAAGTATTGAAGTGAAAGAAACTAACGAGGGATATATTTATTATAACTTGAAAAATAAATTAAACGATACAAATAGTACTTACATTTACATTACACATTATTAGATCGCGAATCGTCTAAATTGACATATAAAAACAAAAGTTTTTCCGCTTTTCTTGTTAACCGTGTTCTTCTTTTATTTAAAAATAAACCAGATTTTGAACATGTGTTCTCAAGGAACAGATTTTGTTACAATACTACAATATTTTATGAATATAGTGGTTAAGTTAGGATATACATGGCGATGGTTTTTCCACCACTGTAATGGACAGTTCCAATTTCCGTTTGAATTTTTTTGTGGGTAATATATCATCAGATAAATACATGTCGACTTCTTTTATATCTCTCGATACAGGTGTATGTTTAGATGAGTCATGTCCAATTAATTCATCAAAAATACACCATGGACTTAAGTCATCTTTATCAGTTTCTGTTTCTTGTACTGGTTGATTTTTACTAGTACAATATTCTTTTTTTTCTTTTTTTTTTCTATAGAAGTAACCAGTTTCTTAACTCTTTCTTTCATTTTTTTATAACTAGCTATTCTGATTAATGAATGAGTTTCGATTTACGATTGATCTGCATTTTCGATTTCAAATATTTATTGATAGTTCGTCAAAGGATTTATTTATTGTAAATATTCAATTAAGAATTCTTTTTCTTAGTCAAAATTATTGACCTAGTATAAGAATAATTTTATTTTCAAAAAATGCACATTTGTGATGTGCATTTGTGATGAAGATGCAGCTTTTATGGTCCACTTTCTGAATATTGCAATGATTGAAACTTCTCCTGACGCATTTCTGTCCGTTTCGACTACTTATACTACAAGTACTGACATACTGCCACCGCCACTCAGGCGTCAAAAGGTGATCAATACTTCCATTAATAAAAATATTAGTTTAGAACAAAAGAAACAAATAGATATGGATTTACTAAACCTATGCAAAGACTCGTTTCATCCGTTTTCCATAGTTGAAGAACGAGCTTTTAAAAAGTTTGTAGGGTGGATTCCTGGATATAAATCGCCAACAAGAAAACTTGTTCATTACGTCAGGTTCATTACTCCAGGAATGTTATATCAAAACTAAGCAAATTATTAGATCACAAGTTGTTAAAGAAGTAGACAATATTTGTATTACTACTGACCTCTGGACATCTGGAGTAACTGAGAGTTACATCGCATTAACAGGACAATATTTAACCGAAAATTTCGAATTTAAAACGGTTTTATTAGGCTGCTGATATTTTTCTGGAAACCATAATTCAGAAAACATCACCTTTGAAATTAGTGAAATTATTAATCAGTGGGCTAAAACGAAAAGTAAATTTTGCAGTAACTGATAATGCCTCAAATATGGTCAAAGCTATTAAAGATGTTTTGGAATGAAAACATTTAAATTGTTTTGCTCATGCATATTGGTGGAGTACGAGTGGTTTCTACATGGAAGGACAGTAAAATGTCAACTGATGGATTGTCATTAAAGCAAACTCAAACTATTAGGAGACCAGAATTTCCCATTTCAGTAGTTTCTCTTAGTAATGTTTTAGGTACAACTGTATCACTTAGTCGTCTTCTTCAGTCACCAAAATTAGATTTGAAGAAGTCTACTGAGGCCATAGAGGACACTAAATGCATTCTTCAAAATAAAAGATCAAATGCTGAATCTGTTTTTAGCAAACTTTACTATGAAGTAAAGGAAATAGCTGAACAACTAGACATTGAACTGAAGAAACCTCGTATAGTTTCTCGTCAAATCTGTCATCAAAAACCAACCTGCTAACTCTTGTGAAGAATATTTCCAAACGATCTATTTATTTATCCCTTTTAGACAATATCCTAACTGACTTTCACCGAAAGTTACGAATCTATTTAATCTTCGAGTTGATTTACCTAAAACTGATAACACACCACCAGAAGATAAAGTTACATTAAAAAAATTGTTGTAGAACAAGAGTTTTCACCGTGGATTCAAAAATAGAAAAGAGTCATGCAAAATAATGAAAAACTTCCTGATTCTATTTTAGAAGTATTAGGAAACTGCGACATTCATATGTATCCAAATATCAGAATATTTCTGCAAATATTAATTACACTGCCACTCAGTGCAGCAACAGCAGAGCGTGATTTTTTACGCTTAAGCGTCTAAAGACTTGGCTTAGAAATAGAACTTTGGAGGAAAGGTTAACTGGTTTAGCACTCATTAATGTGCATCCTGAAATTTCTCTAGCTGATATTGATGCAATCATAGAGCGATTTGCTAAATTGGATAGGCGAAAAGAATACGTTTTATAAAATTATATATTTACTTATCTTATTTTTATAGTATATTTAATCACTGAACTTTTATTTACCACTCGTGGCTGGCTGTTACCGACATTTTGCGAGAAAATTTTAAATATTAAGTAAAAAAATATTTCACTCACATGTAGCCTAATATGCCTAATTATAGAAATAACTATTCTTAAATTACATTATGTTTTTGTTGAATAAATTAATTTAAATAAAACCCTTTACACTTCTTCTTAAGGTTTCTTCTTCATTACAGAAGGGTGGCTATAACTAAGGCAAATTGCTCTTTATCTGGAGCTGTTCTTAGTATCGAATGTGTGTCCATGCCTGTCCAGCCTCTTATATTCTTCAGCCAGGAGCATTTTTTTCCTGGACCTTTTTTTCCTTCTACTTTCCCTTCCATTAGGAGTCATAGAAAGTTATATTTTTCTCCTCTGTAAATATGTCCTCTCGTTTTTGTGTTGTTTACAATATTTAGGAGTTCTTTCTTAGTCCTCATTCTTCTCAGCACCTCGTTGTTGTTCACATGCTCTGTCCACGAAAGCTTCAATATCTTTTGAAAAACATGTTTCAAAGGCTTCTGTATGCCTCATACATGTAATTCTGAGAGTTCATATTTTCACCCCGTATAGCAATAAGGATTCCGACTAAGGTCTACCGGGTGGTCCAATAAGCCGATAGCTCGGCTATATATCAGAAACTATTTATGTTATAACTTTAGGAGAAAAAATTCCTTAGTAAAAGTGGCCAAGAGAAATCGCTGGAAATAACTTTCAAGTTTCTGGGTTAATCGCTAGGGGGCGTAACCTGTGAAGAAAACTTAAACCAGTTTTTTGAGAAATATGTCCAATTATACCAAGTGTTAAATAAGTAGACTAGAAAGAGGCCTAAATTCTGCATAATGTTGTTCAAGTACTTTTTTTATTTTTTCAAATAAAAGGTAAGGGAGAATGGGAAACTATTTGTGGATAAATACCTATAACTTTAGAGGGTACTTTCGAATAGAAAAAATTAAAATTTGTTTTTCTTCAAAATGTTTAATGGAAACACCTATTTATTGTACATTATAATGGAACTGGATGAAATTCGTAACAAAATGGCGCAAACCGCATGTTAATAGCTTTTGTCGAACTAGAGATATAAACAAAAACGCATAAACATAAGTAAGTATAGTATTGATTCACCCTGTATTATAAATTAAATTAAAAAATAAGTCAGTAGCTACTTTCAAATTTTTTTATAGCAGAAGAATCTTAATGTTGATACCTATTTTGACCATTGTTATTTCATATGATTAAAAATAGTTTTTTCGAAACCTAGTAGGCTACGACAATGAATTTGACGGGGAGTTCATATTGTTTGAAGAATTGAAGATTGCACTTTTTTCAATAGATATTAATATTGGTAATATTAGTAATTAATTATCAGTACTCATAATTCGTGATGAGTATATCAAATGCAGAATTGTATGATATGATTGGAATTTATTTTGAACGTCATCAAAATGCCGCTATTGCCTAACGTATATATTGTGTAAGATTTCCTGACAGGATACATTATGTTAAAGAAGTATCTGAAAGAAAGGCAAGAAGATTAAAAGAAACTGGTAGTTTTCATCGTCCTTGTTTTAAACGACGTAGTAGTGGTATGACCGAAGATAATTCAATCGGCAAATCTCTATAGAATTAAACACACCCAAAACTACTGTTCTAAGGATTTTAAAACATCATAGATTGGTTTTTTATATTATAAAGTAAACGTTTAGGTCAGAAACTTGGAATTTCCTTTAAGCTTTAGATTCAACTGTTATTTTAACATTCCGATAAAAATGGCAACACGGCACTTTTATCCTTTTATCCGCTTCTTAAAAATACTTATGCATGATTTATCTTGTGAAACAATTGTGAATTTTTCAAGATTTTTTGAGGTTTAGTAAATATAGTGGTTTCTTTTCACCAATATTTGTTGTTATGTTTTTTAGACTGCATCCTTATCATGTAGTTTTCCACCAAGCTTTACATAAGAGAGATTTTGATGCAAGGCTAGATAACTGCAATTGGATGTTATGTCTGCTAGAAGAACAACCGCATATCATGTCAAAGATTTTGTGGACTGACAAGGCTACGTTTAATAGTGCGGGTGGTGTTAATCTGCATAATATGCATTATTGGGCTGAAGAAAATCCACACTGGATACATGAAGTGCAAGTTTAAGGTAGATGAAGTCTTTATGTTTGGTGTGGTATAGTTAATGGAAAGATCGTAAGTAGGTCCATACTTCTTTGATAGAACTTTAAATGGCCAAACATATTTGGATTTTCTGGAAAATCAGTTGCCTGTTTTATTGGAAGATATTTCCTTACAAGCAAGAAGAGATATAATATTACAACATAACGGGTGTCCTGCGCACTTTTTCAGACGAGTTCGAGATTATTTTGTATGCGAGTTATCCAAATAAATGGATTGAAAGGGGAAATATATTTTAATGGCTAGCTACATCTCCAGACTTAACATGTCTGGACTTTTATCTGTGAGGAAGATTAAAGGACTTAGTGTACCAAACTCTAAGATAGTATATCAACAGCTGAGACTGAAACAGCTGTTATGTCTTCGCGCAAAAGATTACATCTTTGTGTGGACAACGATGGAAAACAATTTGAACATTTTATTGGACATTAAGTTTTAATAATCGAGATATTTGTGTTGATCTTTCACATATTTAATTTTAAGTTATAATAAAGAGTGAGTCAATACTATTCTTACTTATGTTTATGCGTTTTTATTCATATCTCGAGTTCAACAAAAGGTATCAACATGCGGTTTACGCCATTTTGTTATGAATTTAATCCAAATCTATTATAATATACAATAAATAGGGGTTTCCATTAAACATTTTGAAGAAAAACAAATTTTAATTTTTTCTATTCGAAAGTACCCTCTACCCATGACAATTAAAACTAAATGCAATTATTTTATAGTAGATGTAAATTAAATCATCCACACTCTTTCTAATGACACTAATTTCGTTAAAATCAGTTAATCCAAACCAAAGTTATAGGTATTTATCCACAAATACTTTTCCACTCTCTCCCACCCTTTATTTGAAAAAATAAAAAAAAAGTACTTGAACAAATTTGTGCGAAATTTAGACCTCTTTCTAATTTACTTATTTAACACTTGGTATAATTGGCCATATTTCACAAAAAACTGGTTTTCAAATTTTTCTTCATAGGTTACGCCCCCTAGCGGTTAACCCAGAAACTTGAAAGTTACTTCCAGCGATTTGTCTTGGCCACTTTTACTAAGGAATTTTTTCTCCTAAAGTTATAACATGAATAGTTTCTGATATATAGCCGAGAGATCGGCTTATTGGACCACCCGGTACAACGACTCATCGACAAGACCAACTCGACCTGTGAGCAATTTGGTATGAAAATAAACATTAAAAAAATCAAAGTGATGTCAATCCGAAAAAACAAAACGTAACTCAACCTCGCACAATAAATGGGCACATTTTAGAACAGGTCAATAGATTTAAGTACCTAGGATGTTGGATCGAAAGCAGCCTAAATCCTGATCTAGAAATAAGATCGAGAATAGAACAGGCCAGAAAATCTTTCGAAAAAATAAAAAAACTGCTTTGTAATTCTCGAATAAAACTCGAAATTCGACTACACTTATCAAAATGCTACGTCTGGTCGACTCTTCTATATGTAGTTGAAACGTGGACCCTTAAAACATCAACCGTAAATATATTGGAGGCCTTTGAAATGTGGATCTACCGGAGAATACTCAAAATTTCATGGACATCGCATACCTCAAACGAAGAAGTGCTGCATAGAATAGGCAAGGAAAGAGAACTTTTTAACACAGTAAAAGTTAGAAAAACATCATATCTAGGCCACATACTGAGAAATAATAAGTACCAATATGCCCAACTTATAGTGAAAGGAAAATCGAGGGAAAGAGAGGCCTAGGAAGGAAAAGACTATCGTGGCTCAGAAACATCCGACAATGGACAGGGCTAAATTTTGAACAGCTAATAAGAACAGCTGAAGATAGAGAAGAGTTTAAAATTGTAGTAGCCAACCTCCATTGAGGACAGGGCACTTTAAGAAGAAGAAGCAATAAGGGATAAATAAATGTTTTTACAAATTGATATAGGATATCCAACGATAAGATAGAGTTTATTGTTTATTAGGAATGTTAAATACATTAATTAATGTTTACACTTACATTGAGTTATTGCATTTGAAATTACTTAACTTTGGGTTATACTTATTTATCCTTGGTTGGTTCTTGATTTTGTAGCCATAGGATAGGTGGGTTTAAATTAAGTAATTGTCTTTAAAATATGTAGTTTAAATTGACAGTCCTTGATTTTTCAGTATTTATATTTTAATAACTTTCCTTTGGTTTAATAGTCTTGTACACTTGATTTTACTGTCATAGAGTATGTGGCTTTAAATAATTTTTTTTTTTGGTTTAAATATAAGACCCCTTAATGTAGTACCCTTCTTTGCACCCGTAGAGTATTTGTGTAAAATAATTATTGAGAAAATGGTTCCCTTACATGAGGCACAAATCATATCTATCGTAGAGGCGCAAAAATCTGAATAAATCCTATATCAAAATCACCCTCAAGACCCACAATCCCCTCCCGAAAAAATTAAGTAATATATTTTTGGTCCAACATAAAATGCTGCATTTTAGGTTTGGTGTCATTGGAACAAAGAACATCAGAGCTAATCTTGTAATAGACAATACAACGATTGAGCGTGTGCCCTGTTATAAATATCTAGGTGCTTGGATCACAGACGATACTGATCAAACAAAAGAGATTAGATGTAGAATAGAAATCGTTAGATCAGTCTTTAATAGAATGCGCAAACTCTTTTGCAATCGTGATATCAATATAAAGTTACGAGTACGAATGCTGCGGTGTTATGTCTTTTCTACCCTGTTATATGGAGTTGAGGCTTGGACACTAAAACAGTTGACAATAAAAAACATCGAAGCTTTCGAGATGTGGTGCTATAGGCGCATTCTCAGAATATCATGGATGGACCGCGTCACTAACACGCAAGAACTCCAAACTTTAGACAAAAGATGCGAAATTCTAAATGAGATAAAAACTAGAAAGATGGAATACTTGGGGCACATTGTGAGAGGTGCAAAGTACAAACTTTTAAGAAACATCATGCAGGGCAAAATTAAGGGCAAAAGAAGTGTGGGAAGAAGAAAAATATCGTGGCTTCGTAATCTACGTGAATGGTTCGGGTGTAGTTCGATTGAACTTTTTAGGCGCGCTGCTAACGAAGTCGCAGTGGCCATGATGATTTCCAATCTCCGCTAGGAGTGGCACGAGAAGAAGAAGTTATTGGAACATGGTTCTTTATTTAACGTTCAACTATTACTTATAGGTAGGATTTCCCATCACAAACACACTATCAGATCTGATTGGAGTACATTTGACAATAATTTAATTAAATCAATATAAGGTTGAATGTTCGAATAAATGAACTTTGATGGTACACAAGGCAAATATCGAACACAGTATTTAATTAAATCTTGCCCAAGTACTTTCAATCACAAGATCATCCTCAGGGGCATTTCGTCAATTGTGGCCTATCCAGCCACAATAACATTCGGTTATTGCTGGATAGGCCACAATTGACGAAATGCCCCTGAGGATGATCTTGTGATCGAAAGTACTTGGGCAAGATTTAATTAAATACTGTGTTCGATATTTGCCTTGTGTACCATCAAAATAATTTAATTGTAAACTAATTTTCAAACAATTCCACGGTAATGTTGTCGTGATAAACAATTTAAAAGTTACTTAATATTTTTAGTTGATAAGACTCGGTATGGCATTAGGTGACAATGGGCATTAATATTTAGCTTACATAATCCCAGTTTTTGTTCCTGTATGTGTTATCGTAATTTGTTTACCTCTAATAAAATTTTTATGTGTTGTGGACAAAAGAATATATGTAACCTTTTTTGAAACTTTATGTAAATTCTAAATACAATTTATTTTCTATTTTCTATATATTCCTAAATTGTAATTAAAATTACATTCCCCTACTTTAACAAGTGGACACCAAAATCAAATGTCATTTATTATTAATCAATAAAGCGATGTAAGTTGCTTATAAGTACATTAATGAAGGCATTATGATCAAATATAATTTCAAGAAAGACTCCAAGTCTTGTGTAAGAAAGGACTTATGATGAATTATATGAGTTTTACAGAGAATCTTAAATAAAAATTTATTAAAGAGTAAAGAATAAGATTGATGGGTCCTATTTAGAGATGCACAGAAAGTAAGATTGTAATAAGAATTTTAGACAATAAATTGTTAATAGAGAAAGGAACAAACCAAAAGTAATTGGCATTATTGGACAAATAATGACAAAGATAGAAAAAGATGGAGAGGAATTGTCAAGTCATGTTCCATTAGGCCTTCTTCTTATGGTATTCATCATTGTTGAAAGTTGGCAACAATCTCAGTAAAGTAATGTATATCTGGTATAACTCTGTAACTATTTGTGTCTTCCTAGTCCATGCTTGCCTTTTATTTTCCCTTCCTTAATTAAGTTCAAAAGCTTTGCTCTACTGTTTCTTACAACATTAAGTAGTACTCTATTATTATAAATAAATGATTAAACCTAATCATTAATGATTATTACCAGTAAAATTAAATTATGTTATTGGCAAATTAGAAATCTGGAGTTAAACAGAAGTTTTGGGGAACCTGACCTTGTAAAATGTATTAAATTAGCATGCCTTCGATGGATAGGACATGTAATTAGGCAAGATAAAGATGCAATGACCAGAAAAATTTTCAACCAAAAAGGACCAGTGGGAAGACAAGTTAGTTTTAAATCCATCGGAGTTAAAGCATGGAGAAGAGTTGTTAGAGACAGGGGCGAATGTTTTGAAGAAGGCTTTGGTGCATCACAAGCTGTAATGCCACTGATGATGAAATTAGAAATCTAATTTACAACACATCAATATGAGGATAGTTTTTCAGTCAAAATAAACTAGTCCCCAACATAAATGCTGCAAGGCCCTAAAGTTCTAACCTATTTAAAACAAACAAAAACAAAATATAAAATAAAATAATCAAATACTGGATTCACAACTAGCTAAATAGTAAGTTAACACCTTGCAAATTACTTCAAATGAATAATTAAAAAAGTAAACAGTGTGAATAGTGTTGGCTGATTTGTTGCTGAACATTATGGGTTACATATATGTCTAGTCTGAACATTTGGAGTTATTTATGGTCAATTTTGAAGCTCAAAACCGCAGACTAAGTTGTTTTGAAGGTTTACTTTAATTTTATGTATTCTTTTAATTTATTAAGTACCCTCTTTAATTAACTGAAATGAAAATCAGTAAGAATTGTTCTCTTTTTGTTAGACTTTAAGATGAGTTATGATAACAGATGGAGAAATAATGTTTACTATTAGGAGGTGCTATTAGTCACTTACCAGACACTCTCTTTGCTTCCTGCATATCTTTTGGGCAGCCCAAATTTTTTTTCTATAGAATTTCCTTTATTTCCTTTATTATCACATGATGCAGTTCTAACACTCATTTTTACAATTGATTTCGGCGATTTGTACAAAGGTTTTATTGAACAGGAGACTACTTTGAACATCTGCAATTTTTTACAAAAAGATCATAATCGTATTACGAGATAAATTATATCAAAACATAACCTTATTTTGATCTTCTCTGCACATAAAAGTAAAACCTTATAATTTAAAATATAATCTGTATCACAGTATAATTTATAATGTACAGTTTAAATTGTGTAAAACATAATAAATTTATTGACAATTCTATTCCTGAGTTTTACATTATTACTTAAAAGGTCACAAAAGTCAAATGTTATTTTGAATTTTGAAATTTTATCAGTCAACTTACTTTTTTATTATTTGCTATTATTATACAACACAACAAAGATATTTAAATTTCGAAAAAATTAAATCATGTTCAAGAGTTAATTAGACAACACTTCATATTGTACATATTATTATTATTTATAATTTTTATCAGAATTTAATACTCAATACATTATAAAATATAAAATTTTTGTAAACCTAATTGTTGGTTGCATAACTTTAGACCTGTCCTTCTATAGAAAGTATATAACGATAATTTACTACCAGACGTATTCTTCTGGGAACGCATATAATTTATTTATTTTATAATATGGGCTTACGAGACGAATTAATGTCGTTTAGAACATTTTTAGTTGTCGTTTAATTAGAACAAGCTGGATTTAGATCGGGATACAGCACAAGTGACCATTTACTAAGTATGAAAATACTTAAACTGAAATCTCTGTTCTTAGCAGCACCGGTGGTTTTAGGCCTTGTAGTGCTGTTTTTTGGTGAAGTTGACGATTTGTGTTTTCTGAGTATTGACTATCAGTCTCTCTTGTTTACACCAGTCGTCAACTATATTTAGGGCTACTTGCATTCTCTCAGACACCACCTGAGCAAACCTGCCCCTGACAACGATTGCTATATCGTCAGCATATCCTAGATAATAAAAGCCTTCTGTGGATAGATTTCTATCATCTACCAAGGTTGCCCAAAGTAGAGGGAACAGAGCTCCTCCCTACGAAAGTTACCCAGAGACACTAAGGGTGGAGACTTTTCTCTTTGTTTCATCTTAATCTTCTTCTTTATTCTATAATAACATCAGTTTTCCGAACCCCTTTCCCATTTTCCTTCCGAAAAGAAATCAGACCCTCCCTTAGGTGTGTGTCGTTATTAGGTATACATCGTAGGACAAGCCCTAAGACCTTCTACAAGAACACCCTTCCAGATTGCGCGGGATGTCCCCATATTTCGTTCTCTAAGGAACTCATCCGGGGATATTCAAGGTCGAAGAGGGGGTGGTTTTAGTTGGTAGGCGACCTGACAGGGGTGCACGATGGGGGCCCGGATTTTGTGTGAACTCTGTGCCGTTCTAGTGTGGTCCTGCCTTCTGGTCGAATCCAACAGTATTAGGGACACCTTCCCTAGTCGGTTTCGAAGCTATCCGCCTCATTAAAAAAAAACTTGTATGTTGTAGACAGCAGAGCTATTGGTCTGTAGCTGTTGGGACTATCCGATGATTTACCTGGTTTTAGGATAGCAATTCTTTTTTGAACGCTTAAGTTCCTGTGAGACATTACCGGTCTATACTGAATCCAGGCAACCAAATTTTTGTATACTTGCCACAGTTCATTAAAAACTCTGGTTACCATCGAAACCCAGACCTTTTCCTGGTTCAAGACCTTTGAGATTTTCTGTTTCCGTGGCTCTAGCATTAGGGATTTAAGATATCACTTGACGTTAATAGTGTGGGCTGTTTCTTTTCGTGCTGTGCATGTTGTTTCAGATAGTGCAAGCAATCCTGACCACGGCGCAGTAGACGAAATTTGGTTTAGTCCCCACTTCCATGCGAAACGCATTGTACTATACATTGTATAATTCCACTTACAATAGAACCTTTCTGCCTTTACGTGAATTTGACTCCACCTTCGGATTTTGCGGTAACATCTTAGTATACATGTCCTAGTAGTGCTTATCACAGCAGTAGCAAATCTTCAGTAGTTTTTCTTCCTTAGTATTCATCGATGTAGATCATTTATCTTGTCAGATGGAGAATTTGGTTGAATTAGCCCTTTTTGGAGATTTTATCTTGGTCGTGGAATAGAAGTAATTAGAGGTATTTGTGTACCTGCCTCAACTATAACTGGGCGATGTTGACTGTGTGAGAAGTAAGACAGGACTTTTCGTAAAACTGCTAGGGATTTTACGAAAAGTTTTAGAAAAAATGCGTCTATGTATACAAAGTTAAAAACAAGACATGTGTTCCCGGTAGACCAAAATCTGTAAAATTCAAAGTTAGAGCTATTTGGGAAAAGTCACCAGACCACATGACACGAGAGGTGCAGTAAGAGCCACATTAAATGGGAATTGTGAATTACGAATGTCTTCGCTTCTTTTCGTCTAAAATAAATTGTGGTCTTTGTTCTGTTAACAGTTCCTTGTAATAGTCCTTCCATTCTTTGTCCTGTATATTTCCTAATTTAATTTTTTCTTTTGAGTTTTATTTCAATCCTCTCAGTACTTTCCATGACCCCGAAGTTCTTGTACCTCCTATGTACGTTTCAATATTTAAGCAGGTTCTTTCCCATTCTTCATTCTTTTGTTGTGTTATTTCTTTTTCCACTTCTCTATCTTTATCTCTATATTCTTTATAAACTTTATAGTTGTTTGTAGTCAGCCATTTTTTGTATAGTTGCTTTTTTTCTTCAATTATTCTTTTTGTTGGTTCATTTATTTCATAATAGTGCTGTTTATTTGTTAAAATGTTATTAACTGTTATTTGTTATATGTGTTCTTTCTCTCCAAGGGCTTCGAATACTGATTGTTTTATACCGGCCTTTATATGTTCATGTATTTCTTCGATGTTGCCGTAAAGGTTTTGTTCATTGTTATCGTTTTGTTCATGTGTGTATTCTTTTATCCAAAAAGCCGTGATAAAAGAAACTTCAGAGTTTCTAAGAAGTTGTAACTTAAGGTTCTTGTATTTTAAAGACGCTTACCGTATTTTGTTTGATAGATAAATTGGTCAATGTTCTTATAAATAAAACTCGAGAGTTGGTTTTTCATTTATAACATTTTATTGTAAAAACAAAACAATAGTTGTATAATTTAAATGTATATTTAATAGAATAACTTAAAGACTCCGTCTCCAGCAAATTCACTCTCTCAATCATAATAATTTCAAACATACACACAAAAATATTTATAAATTTATTTCCTAATTATCACCTACTAGAATGATGGCTATGGCGTGACAATTCATTTGATGATAACAAGTTAAAATTACAATAAGTTGGTATAGTAGCTGAAACAATACAAGCTTTGATTTCCAATTAAAAAGTGTCCGCGACTTATATGTCGGAAGGTCCAAAAAATATTTCTGAACCTATCGACCATGGTATAACTATTCAGTTTCACTGAAATTTAAAATCGCAAACAATAACGAGGGTTGAACAGCGTCGATTATCACTGCGCCGAGCTTTCGACATCCTCTCTGATGTCTTCTTTAGGGCTTCCGAGATCTCAGTCTCCCGAGCCTCCAGACACTACTATACTGATCAATAACCAATGCTATCCATACTACTGGGAGCAGCGGATGGTAAATATTTAACGTCGATGCTGACATGGTTTGGGTGGAGGTTCGCGCGAACATTTCTGACGGCGGGATTTTGATTGGAGTGCCGAGCGGACGATATTTTCTTTATGAGAGATCTCCATGTCGAAGATATCCGGATACCGTCATCTCTTATATTAAGACAATTTGGCTTTTTTAAATTTCTATGGCTTCTCGTTTAATTCTTGGTTTATACAAGCGGATGAGTGCAACGGTTCTGGAGTTTTCAAAATCAATTTTGTGACCTGTATGAAGATGGTCTTGACCTAGAGCTGAAATTGAATCGGAATTGCGAACAGAAATAAAATGTTCATAAATCCTATTTTGGATTCTACGATTTGTTTGGCCTATATAAGATCCGGAACAGTGTGCACAAAGAATTTCATAAACTCCGTGTTGTTCATTTGGAATGTTGTCTTTGATTGATCGGACAAGAGACAAAGTTTTTGTTGGGGGATAAATATTGCCTTTATTCCTCTTGATTTAAGAATTTTGGCGATTTTGTTAGTGACAACTTACATCAAAGGTATCAGACAACAAAAAACCAAAATGGAAAACGCAAGAGATCATGCAGGTAAGACGAAAAAATACAGCAAACCCAATAGGATACAAACGAATCAATAAAATTATTAGAAAAAGTACAGAGAAGCTAAAGAAAACTGGTCAACCAAATGCCTAGAAATTGAATAATTTGAGGAAAGATATGACACCTTTAATGTTCATAAAAAAGTGAAAGAACTGACAGGTAGTCACAGAAAGAGACAAAAACAATATTAAGAAATAATAACAACGAAATAATTATAGGTACAGACGAAAAACTGGAAAGATGGAAAGGATACATTCCAGACACTTGGTGACGACGATAAGCCTTGTTCTCCACCATCCACAGATGATCGAATAAGTAGAATAAAGAAAATAAATAACCAAAGAAGAAGTTATACATACAGTAAACGCTCAGAAGAACGGAAAACCCGTTGCACAGGTCCAGACAATGTCAATGTCGAAATACATCAATTAAGTGCAGACAACGAAAGTAAAAGCCTAGACTTGATAACAGCACTATTCAATAATATATATGACATAAGTAAAATACCATCAGACTGGTTAAAATCAACATTCGTAACATTACCAAAAAATCCAATACCACACAATGCAATGACTATTGACTATTAGGCTTGATGCCTTATGTCCTGAAAAGAGAACAAAAAGAATTACTAAGCATAATCAAATAGAGAAAAATAGAATACTTAGTGTCATGTGTCAAAGCCAAAAGCCAAATGCTAAAAGTTGCGACCAATTCCGAATGATCAGCTTATTGTGTCAGGTCCTAAAACTCTTCTTAAAGATAATTCACACAAGAATATACAATATATTTAATAAGATTTGGCACAAGAGAAGGACTTTAAGCTTAAATGTCCTACTTCAGAAATGCAGAGATCAGCAAAAAGATGTCTTCCTATGCTTTATAGATTACCAGAAAGCATTCGATTGTGTTAATGATTCAGAATTAGTAAGATTGCTCCACGAACGTTCGATAGATGAGAATGACCTTAAAATCACAAAGAACCTTTATATTAATCAACTGGCACCTGTGAGCGAAGGACTGGAATCTACATCATATTTCTCAATCGAAAAAGGTGTACGACAGGGTTGTGTTCTGTCACCCCTCCTTTTTAATCTTTAGTCTGAAACG